GGTTTTGGGGCCAAAATTATGGATTTTGATAAGAGCCGTGGATAAGTTGAGGGTAAAACTTAGCAGCATGTAACGAAGGATGTAAAGGACAAAGCAAAGGAAAATGATGCTAAAGATTATTTTAAAAATTTGGCATGCATAACTGTTTGTGCTTGCCCAAAAGGCTGGATGAGATAGTAGAGGGATACTTCTTTTAGGACTGTGATTTTCTTTTTTCTGGACTGTGATTTTATTGAACTGTAAGCTTATGCTTAATTTTAATGCTGTAATGCTTTGCAGAGGGGTGGGATATAAATACATTATTATTATTATTATTATTATTATTATTATTATTATTATTATTAGGTGCTCCAAGAAGAAATTAAGCTCTCACCTTTTTCCAGGGCATGGTTCCTTTTTTGATCAAAGTGCAGTAATTGCATTGACCTGTGGATCAGTCAACCCAGGTTTTTTAAATTTCTAGACTTATACATGAATATATACAGTAACTGATATATTGCTGCAGCTCCCAAAGACTTTCCAGACTTTGTACTGAATTAGCATCTTTTCCGGTCATGGTGGTGCCAGGGCTCACCCTCCACTCTTCTCTGCATCCATCCTCTGGTTCAGCGGTTCCCAAACTTTGGTCCTCCAGGTGTTTTGAACTTCACCTCCCAGAAACCTCAGCCAGTCTGGCCAACAGTCAGGGGTTCTGGGTGCTGAAGTCCAAAACATCTGGAGGATCAAAATTTGGGAATCACTAAATCGAATGTTCCTTTTCCCATCTCCCTAAGTAAGCAAGAAGGGATCGTCCCTTCATTTCACCTTGATCTGGAAACAATCCCTTTAGCTAAGATTTCGGTCTTCATTTCCAAATAGGAACATGTTTCTCTATCTCTCTCTCTGTATGTCTTTGAATGGTGAGTTGTGAGTAACTCTGGTTGTTATTTAATTCATAATGTTTAATGGCATCACTAGCGTCTATTGCTAAATCTCAGATTTTGGCCCAGAAATTTCAGGATCTGGGATGATCCTGAACCTGCAATACTAGATATAATGGGTAGAAAGTGCAAATGATAGCAGCTACCCAGATTGGAATTCTGCACTGAAACAGTTAAAAATCTGTGTTTTTTAAAAAAGCCAAACTAATAAAGCTGTAATAATTTATGTAAATCCACATCAATGGCAACATATCACTTTTTTTCCAGCCTAATTCAGGTTCTTGCTCATTTTGGGATGGAGCCGCAAAGAGTTTATGAAGGACATTGAGCGTTGGACCATGACTCTGGAGACAGGGTTTGAATTCCGGCTCAGCCATGTAAACCCACTGAGTGACCTTGGGCAAGCCACAATCTCTCAGCCTCAGGATGGCAATGGCAAACCCCCTCTGAAGAAACTTTCCAAGAAAACCCCATGATCACTCTGCCTTAGGGTTGCCATAAGTCAGAAGGCACACAACAACAACAATTGGAATTTCACTCTGCCTGCACATTTTCACACACTTTCAGACCTCTCTTCCTAAGCTTGAGGACTAGGAACTTCTTTTTACAAAAGTAAAAAAAACAAAAAAACAGTTTTTCAGAACCAGGAAACTCTGATTTTGCACAATACCAAATCCAGCGTCCAATAACAGAAATGATCTTTGCAGAGTGATAGGTTACACAGTGCATCACAGTTGCAAAATCTCGACATGTGCCTTGCTGGGCCCTGGGATCCTGGGATTCCTTGGATTCCTGGGATCCTGCTTTGGGATGATTCCACCTGGCAGAAGAGAGGAACCTGGTGGATGAGGGATGTGGTTGTGTGCTTTCCTGTTCCTACATGCCCTCACATAGCTTTCAAATGTTCCAGTTTGGTAGGGACAGTCCTGATAGGTCCTCTGCTGTCCCACTTTTCCAGCAACTTTTAAAATGTCCCGGTTTCTCTCTCTTCCTCCCACTTTCCTCATTAGTCCTCGGCTTACTTCCATTGGTGCAAACTGAGTTCAAAGTTCTAAAATGGATCACACTCACACTTCCAATCATGCTGCTAGCTCTGGGAGGCTATCTCCTTAAACTTTGCTGAGGAGGGCTCATGGCTCAGTGGCAAAATTCCAGGCATCTTCAATGAAAATCCAGTTTAAGGAAAGTGTTTAGATCAGATGAGGGGTGAAATTTTCTTTTTAACTCAGAGAGGTGCTGCCAGTTGGAGAAGAATGAGGTAGATGGAGAAAAGATGCTTTCATAGAATCACAGAATCATAGAGTTGGAAGGGACCCCCAAAGGCCATCCAATCCAGCCCCATTCTGCCATGCAGGAACACACAATTTAAGCATGCCAACAGATAGCCATCCAGCCTCTGTTTAAAAGCCTCCTAAGAAGGAGACTATAGGACAATAGCACTAATCTCACATGCAAGCAAAATAATGCTCAGCATTCTGCAGCACAGACTCCAACCATACATAGAGAGAGAAATTCTAGAGGTGCAAGCAGGATTCAGAAATGGAAGGGGCACTAGGGACCACATTGCAAACATGTGATGCTAATGGAGAGCACCAAAGAATTCAAAAAAAGAATCGGCATGTGTTTCATAGACTATAGAAAAGCATTTGATTGCATAGATCACAAAAAACTATGGAATGCACTCAAAGACATGGGAATGTTACTACATCTGATAGCCCTGATGAGGAATCTGTACCAAGGACAAGAGGACACCATCAGAACAGAATTTGGGAAAACAGAGTGGTTCCCAATAGGCAAAGGGGTCAGGCAAGGCTGCATCCTATCACCCTACTTGTTTAACTTATATGCTGAAAACAACGTAAGAAAAGCAGAATTGGAATCAGAAAAGGGAGGCATTAAGATAAGAGGATGCAACATTAACAACCTAAGATATGTGGATGACACCATAATATTAGCAG